TTGCATGTTAAACTAAAATTACGAAAGAAAGCCTTCTCAAGGATTGAACATCTTGGTAATCTTGATCAAAAGTAAGTATCTTCTTTAACATCAAGTTCCAAGTTAAGATTTTTACTCCTACAAGTTTTATTCATTTGTATATCAAAGGTTGTTTTTAGATACAATAAATAATAAACCTTTCATTTGAAAATTGATATTTCATTCTAACACGATTAAAATAAATTGATTTGGCTTTAATTTGGATGCTTACACATTGATTATTTAAACCATATCTTTGACAAACGATTTTGTTCATAATCAAATAGACCATAAAAAGGGGAAAACTTATGAACCCTGCAAAACATGGACCATTTTCTAGTTAACATTAAATTTTTTTGTTCGTTAGACTATTTTTATGTTATTTTTTTTCCATTAGATTATCACTGTGTAATTTTTTCGTTGAGACTATCCATACATTATTCTTTTGTTCAGATCATCCATATATTATTTTTTTTGTTTCGATTTTACCTATGTTATTTTTTGGTTCAAACTATTCCTATGTTATTTTTCCGTTCGGACTATCTAGATGTTATTTTGTCATCAAAACTATCGTTACATTATTTTTTCGTTCCGACTATCATTGTGCTATTTTTTTATTCCGGCTATCATTGCAGTGTTTTTTTTGTCAGATTATCTCCGTGTGTGTGTCTATATATATATATATATATATATATATATATATATATATATATATATATATATATATATATATATATATATATATATATATATATATATATATATCGTTTTGATTATCTTTATGTTATTTTTTCGTTCCGGTTATCTCTATGTTTTATTATTATTATTATTATTATTATTATTATTATTATTTTCCCCATTATCAGTGTATTATTTTTTTTTTCGTTTGGACTATCAGTGTGTTATTTTTTTTTCATTCAAACTATCTATTTATTATTTTTTTTCGTTCAGACTATCATTTGTGTTATTTTTTAATTCGAACTATTTGGTGTTATTATTTTGTTGCAATTTCCGTAGCCTTTAAATAAAACCCACACACAAACATAAATACAAATGTTCATAATGTTTTTAACAAAAACAAAAAGATAACATATCGTTTGTTCGAATGAAAAAATAATACATGATTAGTCCGAGCGAAAAAAAAATAACATATGAATATTCGGAACAAAAAAAAAACACATGGATAGAGAGGATGTGAAAAATAATACCTAGAAAGTCTGAACAAAAAAATAATACATGGATAGTTCGTACAAATAAAAATATAAGAATAATCAAACCTAAAAAAATAATACATAGATAGTCGGAATGAAAAAAATTAAAAGACATTAACTTATCAAAAACTCTTTATTTAATAAATATTTTTATTTTTTATTACAATCTCCATCTCCATCATATAAAGCTAACATTTTTTCTTGAATCTCATGCATTTGAAACCCTATTTTTTAACTTCCTTTCACCACATTCATTTGAAACTTCTATGACTTTTCAATTTCTTTACAATAATATTATAAATAAGTTAAATAATGTTCTATAAAAAAGAAAGGGTGTTTTATTACAATGTCATCATCCCACATCGATGATGAGAGGAAAGATGAGAGTAAACAAGAGAATGTTTCCTCTTCTATAAATAAGAAATATTGTGAAATGTTTCAAAGGGACCAAACCATGAGAACTTCCTCATGCCTACCTTTGTAGGATTTTGAAGGTATTATTTGGTGAAATTGTCTATATTGGGAAGTGTCCAGTTAACATTTACAATTCCAAAAATGGTTTTGAACCAAATTTTTTCAGGTTTAAACCGTGTTTCAGTTAAAAAAAAAATTATATAGTTGGGTATATTGAGTTGAACTGGAGCTGGATCATTTTGGACCGATAAAAGAATCATTTTCTTTTCACAACAAACATTTGAAACTCCCATGATTTTTTAAATTATTTATAATAATATTATAAATAAGTTACATAATTTTATATAAATATAAAAAGCATCTATCTAAACCTAAAATTATAACTATTTGAAAAATCACTTTGATTCAAAGCACTAAATATATACAAACCGGGTTTCACTAGAAAAAAAATAAGTAGTTTGGTATATTTAGTTGAATCGATTTGAGTTTGATTTATTTGGACCATAAAAGAAGCATTTTCCTTTCACTACATACATTTGAAACTCCCATAATTTTTCAAATTGTTTCCATTGATATTTTAAAAAAGTTACATAATGTTATATAAATATAAAAAAACATCTACCTAAACATAAAATTTTAATTGTTTGAAAATTCGATTTGATCAAAAACACGAAATATATACGCATATTATATTTTATAAATGAATACATATAAACAAACTTTCTATATTAAGTACCTAACTGAATTTATGATTTTAGAATTAAGCAAAAAGTTATTCAATAAAAACTTACTTTTTTGGATATCAACTTACGAGATTATAGAAAAATGGAACTAGTGAACAATAAAAAAGGGTAAACCAGAGAAATGGAATGAATTACTAAATAAGTTGAATAATTTTTTATAAACAAGAAAGCGTGTTTTATTACAATGTCTTCATCCCACATCGATGGTGAGAGCAAACAAGAGAATGTTTCATCTTCTATAAATAGGAAAGGTTGTGAAATATTTCAAAGGGACCAAACCATGAGAACTTCCTTATGCCTACCTTTTTAGAATGTTGAGGGTATTCTTTGGTGAGATTGTCTTTATTGGCAACTGTCCATTTAAGTTTTAGAATCCCGAAAATGGTTTTGAACAAGATTTTTTTAGGTTCAAACAGAGTTTTAGTTGAAAAACCGTTATGTAGTTTGGTATATTGAGTTGAATCAGTATGAGTTTGATTAATTTTGACCAATAAAGGAAGCATTTTCCTTTCAGCACATACATTTGAAACTCCCATGATTTTTCAAATTGTTTCTAATAATATTATAAATAAGTTACCTAAACATAAAATTATAATTGTTTGAAAAATAAATTTGATTCAAAAACACAAAATATATACAAACCGGGTTTCAATAGAAAAAATATTATGTACTTTGGTATATTAAGCTGAATCGGTCCGAGTTTGATCAATTTGGATCGATAAATGAAACATTTTTCTTTCACCACATACATTTGAAACTCCCATCATTATTCAACTTGTTTATAATAATATTATAAGTTACATAATGTTATATAAATATAAAAAAATCTACCTAAACATAAAATTATAATTGTTTGAAAAATCACTTTGATTCAAAAGCACGAAATATATACTCGATTATATTTTATAAATGAATTCATTTTATAATGACATTTTGAATTATGAAAATACATATAAACAAACTTTCTATATTAAGTACCTAACTGAATTTATGATTTTAGGATTTAATAAAAAGTTATTCAATAAAAACTTAATTTTTTATAGCAACTTACGAGATTACTGAAATGGAACTATTGAACAATAAATTTTCTGGATAACGTTTTATTTTTATTATTTAATATTTTATTTCATAAAAAGAAATTATTGGCAAATAAAGAAATGAGTTTAATTAAAATGTCTTCATCCCACATTGATCGTAAGAGTAAACAACAGAATATATATTCTCCTCTATAAATACTTAAATAGGAAAGGTTGTGAAATATTTCAAAGGGACTAAGCCATAAGATCTTCCTTGCATCTAACTTTGTAGGACGTTGAGTGTATTTTTTGGTGAGATTGTCTTTGTCCACAAGTGACCAATTAAATTTCAGAATTTTGAAATTGATTTTGGACCGTATTTTTAGATTTTGATCGAGTTTAATAAGGATCCGAGTGTCTTCTGGCTGAGTTAGGCAAACTCACTTCCATTGGAGGCCGAGTTTAAGTAACATGTCGAGTATTTGGTTGTGTTACCCAAGTTTTACAACCCTGTATGTAATACAATTTAAAGTTTTAACCTTATAAAAGATGTTACTATTATCATATGTTCTACATAATTATGGCAACATTTATGATACAATTTTTTTTTACTATTTAAGATAAAAAGTTATCTCTATTATCATATGTTGTACAGAATGATAAAATTTAAGATAGATAAAAAGATATCTCTATTATCGTATTTTCTACATAATGATAATATTTAATATAAACGTTTTAATTTAATATGAAATTATTATTTAATAGATAACAATAACGATTTATTTATTTTAATTTTTTTCTATTTTAATCATATAACTTTGTATATGCAAAACAACTTCAAGTTTTAACCTTATCTCTTATAATATAGTTCAACATAATAACAGTACTAAAAATTATTTTTTATACTTTTTATGAAATTATTATTTAATTGTTAATAACAATGATTTAGTTATTTTTAATATAAAATATTTTTTTATATCCCACGCAACGCGCGAACATTCGCCTAGTTTCTAATAAATAAATAGATTGAATGTAAAACTGTCATGTGTCAAACTGTATACATGCCACGTGTCTCTCTAATAAACTTCCAGAGTTCATTTACATTTATTTACATTCATTCATTCAAAATTTCAAAATTCAAAATCGGCTATAAGGTATAATATCACAGTACTATTTGATTCCATAAAATCAGGTCCTAAATTTCAGTAAATATTTTTTTATTTTACAAATTTACATGCATTGAAATATCGATAATACAAATAAATATATCATATCCCTAAAAATCAGCTATTGATATTCCAATTTACCCCTTTTAAACCTCTTCAATTCCAATATTCACTACCACATATATGATTTCGCTTATTTTCCCGCTCATTCTTTACTGTAAGTCTTGGAATTATCATATAAATTCCAAGAAATCAACAAATCAGTTTTAATACTCCAGAATCTGACTTGCATTAAAAAACATTCGATTTATACTTATAGAGATATATAAAGAATATAAATAATTGATATTCCTGAAAATCAACAAAGAATTGATGATTACTTTATATTTATACCTATAAATTATACCTATAAATACCAACAAATATCAATTGATGGTAGTTGTTTTCTTTACTGTTGTATTGAAAAAGCTTTCAGAGGCTAATTCTCTTCCACATCTCTGCATCTACACGGCTGCTGCTGCTGATTTAACTTTCATACCTGATCTTGATGTCTTGAAGGACATCTTCACTATGAAGCTTTGTGTTATCAGATTATGGACACTGGAATGTTACTATAACAACGACCAAATTTTCTCCATTCAAGTTATTTTAATGGACGAACGAGTATACTACATAAATGGTTTTAAATTATTTACAGATTCATATTTTTATTTATATTTTTAATAACAAAACTTGAATGTTGATATTAATATACATCATAATTTAGGGTAACAAGATCCAAGGTTATGGCCCTAATGCTTATGTTTACAAGTTTAGAAAAGTTCTAAAAGAAGGGGAAGCTTTTTTCATCAAAAATCCAAATTTAGCAAAGATTGATGAAGGTAAATTTCGACTTACTGATCAAATGCAAAAGCTCACATTCAATCGCGAGACTACTATCACTCCCTGTCTCGAGTTTTCGGGATCAGTTAATGCATTTGCTTTTATTGACTATTATCCCATTATTGTCGGCACTCCAGAAAATATTTCATTGGGATAGTATTTTCTATTTACATAACACTTTATATATTTTAAATAACTTGTTTATTTATACCCTTAAAATAGTAACTAATTCAGGATTTTTTTGGTATTTATGCTTATATATAGATGTTATCGGTTTGGTAGTTGCAATTGGTGAAATTGATGCTCGAAATGAAGATAGAAAGAGGCATAAGATGAGACTACAAATCCAAGATGCCAAGTTTGTTTTTTATAAACTATAATTATTGACTGTATTAACTATTTTTATTGCAATATCAAAAAAAAAAATTGTTTGTAATTTTTAATTCCCATCTTTTTTTTGGTAGTGGTTCTCAATTAGATGTTAACCTATGGGGAGATTATTGTTACAAATTCTCAGATTACATCCAAAACAATGTAAATATTCTCCGCATCGTCATAATACTTTAATTTGCAAAGATTAATATCTGACAATGTTTATTGTTTTTTTTTTTTAATTTCTGTTTTATATTGCAATGATTATTTGTTTATTTTTTTATAGATCGTCAATATGTTAATACATACTATGATGTATCGAAGTTCATCATCAATAGTGACATTGATGAGATAAAAGTTTTCAAAAAAATGTATATTACATTTCTTTAATTTGTTTTTGCTAATAATAAATTGCAATTTATGTTACAAAAGATTTAACTATCATGTTAATTAACAGTTTGAATGAAGATGGTCCCCATGAAAACTCATCCAGTACTTTCTCTTATATGAAATCTAATCGAATTTTTGAAAGGATGGATTTTTGCTTAATCATGAGCTGAAAACAATCTATGATATTTTCGAACCCATTAAGGTAAACAAAATTCTGCAATTTTTATCAATCTTTTTAATTTATGTTTTTAAGATATAGTTTCTGGAATTAACACATTTGGTTATTTAATATTCAATACATGTTATAATATTATTGTTTTTTTTAATCAGATAAAAAAGTATGTTATTGTTGAGACCATAAAGGGAATTCTTCAAAACACACCTTGGTATTACCTGACATGTACAAATTGCAATACAAAAGCAGTTCAAAACAATCCTTCGATGAACCCAATGTCACCGGATCACTAAAAAATGTAACATATGAATGTCGAAATCCAAAATGCACTAAAACTAAAACATCGACATTTCCAAGGTTAATACTTTTTGGAAAACTCAATTTTGATATAATAGTGTTTTCAAATTATGTTGAATAACTTTGAGGGTTTTACATTTGTCCAAAGGTTCATGACTTCGGTAACAGTTCAAGATTATACCAGAAGTATCACTTTAATAATGTTTGAACAAGATGTGAAGAAGCTTCTAAAATTTTATGCAAAAGATTTAGTTGCAAAAACAGGTAAGGTGAATGTTTTTGTTATTATTATTATTTAAAAAAAATATTATTTTAATATATAATTTCATATATTGATGTTTTTACTTGCAGCCTTAGATTTTGTACTAACGTATACCCGTCTGGTATTAAAGCATTGAAAGATATGAAATTGGCTTTCATAGTTTATGTTTCAAAATACAATGTGCAAAGGAACAACAATCAATATACTATTTCCAAGATTAGTGATGATGAGACTTTGATTGAGGAGTTGGAGAAAAAGTTTTTCGTTGCAGAGGTTATTATATTTGAATTTTTTTTCCAAACTATAATATACCTAATAAACGGCTTATTAATTTTTCATTTATGTTTTGAACAGGGAGGTAATTTACTATCGTTTGAACATGGTACCACTGATTGTGAATCTCAAGATAACATATTTATAAAGGTGTACTCTAAATTATCTCAATATCCAATGTTAGTATTATCTTTAACTTTAATAAGCAATAATAATACTATTTTCCTTAGTTAATTTTAGGATGTCATATCTCAGACTGATGATAATGTGACACAAATTAATGTTTTCAAATCGATAGTCACAAGCCCAAAAAAGAATTTGGATGCAACGAGAAGCGAGCTCTTGAGGATGATATTGTTTTGGATGTCAACGACAACATGTCATCATCGAAGGTCACAAAAGTTGTAGGAGGGGAACAACATAAATTTGTCAATGTTAAGTTGGAAAAGTGATTGGTCACCTACCTTTTAAGAACAGTAATCAAATTTTAAATTTTTTCCTAAGGGTGTTAAGACATTTTCGTTTTTTTTTTCCTAAGGGTATCAAGACTTTTTTTTTTTTTTTTTTTTTTTTTGGTTAGAGATTTGATGGATTTGGTTGTTTTTTGGTTTAAATTATTTGTTTCTTAATAGTTTTTAGGATGACTTTATATTATGTGTTTGTTTCTTAATAATTTGTTTCCTAATTTTCATAAAGTACAATTATATTTATATCATGTTCAATAAACTATATTGTTATTTTCTACATTTTAACAATAAAATAAAAGGTTAATAATTTTATTTCTAAACAATGGCGTGCAATTTAATAAGTAAAGAAATATATACCTTTTTTAGATCTTCATTGTCGGGTATTATTTCTAGAACACATGTCATAATTCCACGTCCCATTTAGCTACATACTCACTTAAACCTATAAAAAACAAAAACATTGACAAAAGTCAAAAATCCTTATACAGTATAACATTAATTTGTGTATTCGGGTAAAAAATATTAACTTATGACTCTAAAAATATTGACAATTATGCCCCTAATTAAAAAATAAACAATTGGAATATGAAAGGATAGTTATTTTTATTGATTTAAACAATAAAGGACTCATCCAAATGTGTTAAATTCCTTATACATTATAACATTAATTTGTGTGTTCGGATAAAAAAAATTTAAGATACACTCTATAAAATGACAATTATGCCCCTGATTTAGAAATCAGGAATTGGAATATGAAAGTTGAAAACTGATTTTGTTCCATAAAAATCCAATATTTATCTAATGAAAGCTGATTTTTTTCCACAAAAATCCAACTATTATATTTTTATTAGAATGTATTTTAATTTTCTGATCACCGGTTAACGATTTTGCTTACATCATTCAATTCCAACATTTTAAATACCATTGTCAATGACTTTTAATGATTGTAATAGATTCAAAACTCAGTTTAATCATGTGATAACATTTCTATAACAACATTAAATGAGGGTCATAATTGTCAATTTTTAGAGTGTATCTTACAAATTTTTATCCGAACACACAAATTAATATTATAATGTATAAGGAATTCAACACCTTTAAAAGGATTATGAATTCAATTGCCCCTGGGATCTCCATGTAACATCCAAAATTCCTAACCAATTTAAACTTTTTAAAACATGTCAAGTACATCAAAACATTACAACTTTGTTTTTAAAATACTGATTATCAGAGTTTTTCCCAGAAACATAAACACAATAGGAGGAGCTGTACGATCACACCTTGGCCTTGCCTCGATCCCCTGATGTACCTGAAACAATAAACTGAAACTGTAAGCCCGAAAGCTTAGTGAGTTACCCCCAAAATACCGATACAGATACAGTCCACATAACAATATCAACATTAACATATCGTATCATTCAAAACAAAACAACATGCGTTGGGTTCACAACTTTATAAGCTGGACTACCCCTAGGCCCTCAGTACGAGTCTGGAATGCCTACTGGGCCCTCAGCTCGTATCTGGAATGGCATCGAGCCCTCAGTATGAGTCTGGAATGCCTACCGGCCCCTCAGCTTGTATCTGGAATGCTCCCGAGTCCTCAGTATTAGTCCGGAATGCCTACCGGGCCCTCAGCTCATATCTGGAATACTCTAGGGTTTGTTGGCTACCGCACGGAACAGTACAACCTCAACCCATCCCACATAACATGTCGACATGTAATAGATAAATACACATACATGAAATCAGACAATATCACAGGTAGTCCTGCAGACCTACCAAACTAGCATATCAACTAGCATACATCACTAGCATGCAATACTAACTCATGATCAACATCTAACACTGTTAGGATAATACATACAATGGGTCGGCCTTGGTGCCTTAGACCCTTTAGTATAGTGAGGATAACTCACCTCGTAGATGTCAGCTCGGTAAAAAAATCAAAACTCTCCGATCACTCGTCAAAGACCCCACCACCTATTACCACATTACAAACATGCTCGTAAGTCTCCATCCTCACAGAGTACTTTATAGCCAACTAGCTAACCCTAGTCAAAGTCAAAGTCCTTAGTCAATGTCAACAGTCCATGTTGACCTTAACTCGTCGAGTACCCTCGGCTACTCGCCGAGTTCCTTGAAATCCTTACCCAGTCGCCGAGTCACTAGGGTGACTCGTTGAGTTCCCATGATTCTCGATTGGGGCCTTATGGACGCCCGTCGAGTTTCCTTCTAGTAACATGTCGATACATACGCATTCCTAACTTGGGGAAAACTCCGCCGAGTTGTTCATGCAACTCGTTGAGTCTATGGCAATCTTCATCAGACTCGCCGAGTTGTTCATCCAACTCGTCGAGCCCATGGCTATCTTTATCTGACTCGCTGAGTCGCCCTTGCGACTCGCCGAATTCCTTCAGTCCTTAAGCCACACAGGTCCATTTTAAGCCATGTAAAGGTTCCAAATTACAGATCCAAGCTCCCAGGGCATGCCTTTTACGTAAAGTTGCAAACTTTACGTGCATGCATGGCTAAAAAGGTTCTTAATGCCAAAACAAGGGGGGAGGGGGCTCATTCACGACCAAGACATAAAATTTATGAATCTAAAACTCGGGAAAGGTCCAGATCTGAAGTTACAACTTCAGATCTAGCTCATGTCTTGCAATATCACCTTACTCAAACCATAAAACCCTAGAATTCCACCATATGAGATCTAGAATGGAAAAGAGATAAAGATGCCGACTTGATACCTTCAATGGGTGCTAACTAAGGCAGATTTCAGATTTCCCACACCTTCCTTGCTCCTATCCCCTTGTTCTCTAAGTTCTTCCTCCCACAAGTCCTCCTTCCAAACTTACAAGCACAAGAAAGACACAATACACGGTTAGGATTTTCTATGAACTCTTACTGACTGCAAGGAGGCCAAATGAGGCTTATGCCTCCTTAAATAGAAGGCAGAACCCGAGACTTAGGGTTTCTTCTGCCAGCTCCTACTCGTCGAGTCCCTTTATGGACTCGGCGAGTAGGTCACTAAATATGTGATCCCCTCGCTGCTACTCGACAAGTAGCGCACCCTTAACTCGTCGAGTAGGACTTAAATCAAAGAGATTCTTACTTAAATCCATACCTAAGAATCGGGGCGTTACAATTCTCCCTTACTTGAACTAGACTTCGTCCTCGAAGTCTTCTGGAATAAATAATGTTGGGTAGTGCTCGCGCATCTCTGCCTCTGGCTCCCATGTCCACTCGGATCCCTTCCGATGTTCCCACTACACCTTCACCAAAGGTATCTCCTTGTTCCGCAAAAACTTTTTCTTCCTCTCCAAGATGGCCACAGGCCTCTCCACATAGTTCAGGCGCTCATCGACCTGAATATCATCCAGTGATACAACCGCCTCGTGGTCCACGATTCACTTCCGTAACTACGAGACATGGAACGTGTTGTGAATCCGGCTAAGTTCCTCCAGAAGCTCAAGCCTATAAGCCATCTTGCCAACCCTGGAAATGATCCTGAATGGCCCAATATATCGAGGGCCCAATTTTCCCCACTTCCTAAAGCAGATCACACCCTTCCGGTGTGAGAACTTCTGGAGTACCATATCACCCACCTGAAATTCCAACTCAGATCGACGCTTGTTGGCATAACTCTTCTGCTGACTCTGAGCAGTCTGCAGTCGCTGCCTGATCTGTTGAATCTTCTCGGTAGTCTGCAAGACCACCTCCATCCAACCCATCAACCTGTGACCAACCTCACCCCAACAAACTGGGGTGCGACACCTCCGCCCGTACAACAACTCGAATGGTGGGGCGCCAAGACTAGAATGATAGTTGTTGTTGTAGGCGAACTCCGCGAGCGGTAGGTGAGAATCCCAACTCCCACCGAAGTCAATGACACACGCCCTCAACATATCCTCGAGGGTTTGAATAATTCGCTCACTCTGGCCGTCTATCTGCGGGTGGAATGTTGTGCTGAAGTGCAATCGTGTGCCCAACTCCTCGTGAAATTTCTGCCAGAAGCTGGAGGTAAACCTGACATCCCGATCAGAGATAATGGAAACGGGAATCCCATGGCAAGACACGATATCGCAAACGTACGAGACACGATCTGGCGAACGTATATTTCGGCCAACTTTTCGGCTGACGAACTCTCCCGTATGGCCAAGAAATGGGAACTCTTGGTCAGTCAATCCACGATGACCCAAATGGCATCAAAAACCTTCGCCGTCCTTGGTAGTTTTGTGATAAAGTCCATCGTGATCTGTTCCCATTTCCACATGGAAATCTCCAGGGGCTGCAGCTTGCCATGCGGCCTCTGATGCTCGGCCTTGACCATCCTACAGGTCAAGCACTTCTCGACGTATCAAGCAATCTCGTGCTTCATACACGGCCACCAATAGCTCAAACTCAAATCCCAGTACATCTTGGTGGCCCCCGGGTGAATAGAGAAGTGAGACTTATGAGCCTCCTCCACAACCATCTGCCTAACCTACCAGATACTGGAACCCAAACGCGACCGCATCGGGTCAGTAACCCCCGACTATCCCGCACGAACCTGGTATTCTCACCCTTGATCCTCTCTAACTTCCAATTCTCCGATCGTATACCCTCTACCTGGGCATCTCTGATCAAACTCACAAGCGGAGAATCCATCACTATCCTCATACATACCGCAGGGATAGAAGATCCAGCCGACTTGCGGCTCAAATCATCCACAACCACATTCGCTTTACCAGGTTGGTAAAGGATCTCACAATCGTAGTCCTTGACTACATCCATCCACCTGCATTGCCTCATGTTCAGGTTGGGCTGATCCATGATATGTCTCAAGCTCTAATGATCCATGTAAATGGTACAACGGACCCCATAAAAAGATAATGTCTCTATACCTTGAGGGCGAACACCACCGCCCCCAGCTCCAAGTCATGCGTAGGGTATCTCGCCTCATGCGACTTCAGCTGCAGCGATGCGTAGGCTATAACTTGTCCTCT